CACATACAGAAACATGATTCCAATTGGTAAATAAATATAAAATTCAGATTATAAATGGTAATGCGACATTTGGAACTCCCTCTCTATCTATCTATCTATCTATCTCTCTCTCTCTCTATATATATATATATATATATATAGATAGATAGATAGATAGGTAGGTAGGTAGGTATATAGATAGGGAGTTCCAAATGTCACACTACCATTTATAACCTTCTGAATTTTATATTTATTTAGCAGTTGGAATCATGTTTCTGTATGTGACAATATATTCTTAAGAAATTTTATTTGTTGAATTATGGAAGCAAATTTTCCTTGATTGTTATTTCTCAAATGTACGTTTTCTGCCAATCGTTTCGTGACTTTTGGAACACCTTGTGTATAAAAAAATATATAGCGCATGTCGATATACATTTATGCATATTACTTATATATTTTTTAATTCTATTTTATTTTTTTAATTTCCAAATCTTTTTAATAAATGTTAACCTCAAGGTTGGTTGAAAAATAACTCGTTTTTATGTACAATGGACTCTCCCGTCTTGTAAAATTTATAGTTAAATGGATGAGTCAATCATACATAAAATAGGGAGTTACTTTTCAATCACACTATATTAGATTATAACACTTTGCATTAATTGTTTATCCAAGTTTATTAACGATAAAAATATAAATAAATAAAATTGAATTTCAGTATCAAGCATAGACAAAGAATACAGAATATCCGGCTTAGATTTAGATTTACTCGAAATTGGTATTCTTTAAATTGGTAAATATAACCTTTCTCTCTCAACGCAGCCTCCATAACCAAATTAATGAAGGTACTTTTCCGTAACAGAAACAACGGTTTCCAAGATGAAAAAGAGGAAACAGATTAGTTTATTGTCGAAGACAATTTATCTTTAGTAGTACTTCTCAGTCAAGGCCATTTGCTATTAATTTCAATGTTGAAGAAAATAAAAAAAATGTGGGAATAACAATTCAATTACGTATAAGCAATATAATTAACTTTCATACGAATAAGAAATAATGTCGGATAAAAAAAAAATCAATATATATATATATATATATATATATATATATATATATATATATATATTTGAAAGTCTATGTACCATACCTTTTCAATTAAAGGGACACAACTCTCTAACTTTCAATAGCTCATGTTACAGCAATATTGGATTCCCAAGTTTTCATTATTGTGATTGTTTTCGGTGATATTTGATATGATTTGTTCATATTTTTGTCTACAATAACAATTTTTATAACTTGGAAATAAATTTAGGAACAATGGAAATTAATTGCGAAATCCAGCAAAAGTCACCCATAAAATAAAAATAATTAAGTGGCGTCAGAAAAATTATCATTGAACTTTTAAAAGGTAAACTTAAATATTAATGCAATACATAAAAGCAGCGATCAATTTTGAGTTCTTCTGTAGTTTATTGTTGCCTATCGCCTACGGCAGCAGTATGCCTCTTAAAAAGAAAACTTCGCCAACAGAGGACTAGATTGCAATACAAAAAGTGCCAAGGCTGCAGTGAGAAAAAGTATGTCCCCTGCAAATGAAAACCCAGATCAAACGGCGGCCAGGAGAGCTTCCAATGCTGGGATATGCAATGACTTAAGGACTCTCAAATTCCTGAACGAGTGGAAAGTTCAATCAAAAACCCTCCGCAGGAGTTAGGTGAAATGCTGCGCAATAGTGTTATATATATATATATATATATATATATATATATATATATAGAGAGAGAGAGAGAGAGAGCAAAGTTATCATGTGACGAGTTTTGTCCCTTATGATTTCATCGGACTAGGGGACGAAACGAATACTTTTTCCACTTTGTCATAAATCTTTACTCCAAATCTGTTCTCATCTCTCTCTCTCTCTATATATATATATATAGGTAGGTAGATTGATATATATATATATATATGTAGATGGATATATATCTATATATAGATAGATAGATAGATAGAAAGATGGATATATATATATATATATATATATATATATATATATATATATATATATATATATAGATAGATAGATAGATGGATGTGCATATATATATAGATAGATAGATAGATAGATGGATAGATGGATGAATATATATATATATATATATATATATATATATATATA